GGAAAATATCATTAAAAATAAGTAACCGTACAACACTCCCGGACCTCTTCATTCTCTTCATCCATTCCAATTGCCACTTGTCAGAAATGATGTTGCAATGTTTCTAGAAGGGGAGACAGGAGTTGAAGGTTTGGAGATTGCATGTGATAAATTCAAATGGGAGCTTTTACGTAGACTCTTTATTGAAATCTATAGGTTAAAAGTGTTCACAATTAATCAGAATGTACATTTTTTTTAATGTAAAGTCTAAATTTTCCAGAGAAGTGTTCTGCTCCTTTAAACCCTGTCTTTCTCTCAATTCAAAGTTCTCGCCCTAGAAACTCACCACAACTTAGGATAGGAGCGTAATTGAAATGTCAGTGTCAATAAAGTACAGAATTTGGTGGCTACATATTTAGTCCTGTGTTTATTTCTCTGAGCAAACCTTTCAGCTTCCTGATCATGGTTTAGTGTTCCTAAGTAAGGAACAAGAATAATAGATAGGAAAACCTAAAGTAATGAAATGCCTTTAATGTATGGTTAAATATATTGTACTTTGGAATGTGGTACTTCCTTGGTTCTCTTCTGGGAAATCATTGGAATGTTGAGTTGATGTCACTTACTACAGCCAGTAATCAGTGTTAGCAGCACAGCAGTAATCACAGCAAAGCTCAGACTTATCATCTCTCTGCGAGTACTAACTGTTCAACTGGCACAACAGGTTATGAGATAGTGATGAAATGTGCAAACATAACTCTGAAGTCCGGTTGATTTAAAGCAGTAATGAGTTTCTGAAGGTAATTTATATTTTTATGAATCATTGAAACTTGCATGATTAATGTAATGTTGAGATTCCTTTATAATCAGTAATGAGTTTGTTCACATTTAGGTATCAGATATGCTTCAGATTCATCTTCAAAATAAGATTGTCTTTTTGCTAGGCTGTCCAGCTGCTAATTCAAAATGACTACAGTAATAAAGACTTCTCTAAATCAGGTTTTTAGACCAATTTCTGCCAATTAACTTGGTTTAAATTTGGGTGCTAAATTTGTGAATAGAATAGAGGAATTAATGGCAGAAATTCAAATCATGGTCAAGTAGGACCCAAAGATTGCAAACAGTATAGTTCAGCCTGAGGTACTAACCTGCAACAAATTTGTTTTATTGTTTGATGAATTTAAGAACAAAGGAAAGGAGTGAGGGCGGAAGTCCAAGCAATGAATTGGACACAGTTGATGGCCGTTTCAACTGTGGCATTGGGGGAAATCTTCATTTGAGGAAAAGGAGGTTGTGTCAGAGGCTCCCTAATGAACGAAGACATTATGGGAACAGATTCCTCCTATCTCCACTTCATACAGAAGCAATGTCTGGAGCGGGTATTTTATGCCAAGGAGGTGATCACTGGACTATTCTGTCTCCTCCAACTAGACCTGCATCTGCACAGGGTGACTTTAACACTGCCAATGACCATGATAATCATCATTGCCCTCATTTTTACGAATGCGGTTACTTTCAAGCTGGAGTTGGCAATACTAGCTTCATAACACAATTCTTACATCCAGAAAGGTGACTGACAAAAAACCCAATTTTCTAGGATATGTTGGGGTGTGATGTTGTCACAGATTTCTATCAAACCAGAGAAAAGCAGAAGGAGCATGTACCTGAATTTTCCAGGCTAGTAGAATTTCCTGAAGATGATTGGAGCCATCGGTGACAAACACATGGCTCGGTGGGAGCTACATGTTAATGGGGACAGGTATTGAAACTGTAAGCTTTCAGCCCCACGTTAGTGATCTTGAGGACCCCAACTTTGGCCTGTTTCTCCATTGATTGTGTTCCTACCATGTAAAAGCTCAAAACAATTCCCTACGAAGAGGACCATGCTCCCTTTAGTAAATACAGTATATCTGTATATCATGCTAGCTGCGCAAGTACCTAGACCATTTGTAAAACATGTAGCCTGTAATCAGTTCATTTCAAACCGGTATGCATGACAAAATCGTAGAGATGAAAAGACAGCATGAAGTTTGTGTGCAATCTATAATACTGAACAGGATCAATTAAGTAATAATAATTTGTCATCCCTGCACCTGCTGATTATTTAAGTCAAACTTTTAACCCTGTATCATTTAATGTCATTGTCATATGTTCCTGCAGAAGGACTTTTGTTTTAATTTGCCATGTCTCTATCTTTCCTTTTCTTCTCCGTCTTGCCCTCCCCATACTTAGAATACTGGCTACATCAGTGCAGCAGCTTTTTCTTCCTTTTAGCTTTTAACTAACCAACTGTAATTTTTCTTTCTTGTTGAGTTACTACCTCTCCTCTACTTGGTAATTCTTCTCTTTTTTTTTTCTCTTCTTCCCACCTCCCCACCTAACCCCACAGTTGCCAAACCTTCACACACTACGGTGTAGCCTGTAACTCTGCTCTACCTTGTGCCAGTTATATCTTTTCTTCCCTAGTGCATACTACTTCTCCCCTTTCAGTTAATGGCCTCTTATCAGAATCCTTTCTCAGCCCTGGCTCACTTATCCCCTTCCCTGTCATCCTGAAAACTGCAGTTGGTATTGACTCCCAAAGGAGTGTGGAAACATGGAAGCTAGGAACAGAGTAGGCCATTTGTCCCTTCAAGCCTGTTCAGCCATTCCATCTAAACCTATAGAGGCTTATAAAATCATGAAGGGCATGGATAGAGTTCCTAAGGTGGGAGAATCCAAAACTAGAGGGCATAGTTTTAAGGTGAGAGGATAAAGATATACAGGGGACCTGAGGTGTAACTTTTTCATGCAGAGGGTGATGCATGCTTGGAACTTGCTGCCAGAGGAAGTGGTGGAGGCGGGTACAATTAAAACATTTAAAAAGAGTATGAATAGGAAGCTTTTAGAGGGATATGGACCAAATGCTGGCAAATGGGACTAGGTCAGATTGGGATGTCCGATAGGCACGGACGAGTTGGACTGAGGGTCTGTTTCTGTGCTTTATCACTCTCTGATCATGGCTGATCATTGAGTTCAATACCCTAATCCCACCCTCCCCCCTGATCCTACTAGCCACAAGAGCTGTATCTACCTCCTCCTTGAAAAAGTCAAAAAATGTTGGTGACTTACATAACTTTGCTGTTTAATCTAAAAGAAAATTAAGAATTTTAAATAGCTTGAGATGGTGGGGGTGTTCAACATGGAAATAATTTTATATGGATAAGTTTACATATTTTCTTGTAATTTTGTAATATATATGCCTTATTTCTTAATGTAGTATTTACTCAGCTTCACAAAAGGATATTGATTGAGAGGATGGAACAGCATGTATTTTGAAGAATTTTGTTTGCTTTCTCCATTTTCTTTTTCATCAGTAACTGCTGTGTTGCCCATTTTTGATTTCAGATTTGAAGTTCCATGTTCTTTGAAATGAGCTTTTAAGTTCTGATTGGCTCAAATTTTAATGTAAAGTACAAGAAATGTGTTTGCATGAACATTTAGCACCCAATGTATAATAATTAAATCACTTCCCACCACCATATGAATCTTCCAGCAACATCGGAAGTATGTTGAACAGGATGCAGGATCTTTCCAATGTCTCGACACTAATTTTATTCCATTGCATTAGGGTGGGAAGAGGGTGGGAAACAAGTGCATAGTCCCTGGCTATGTCATTCATGTTGCTCTTGTGCTTAAAAGAGCAATGATAAATCAAATGTAGTGGAGCAAATAAGACATTTAAATATGCTTAATGGGGGATGTGGAAAAGCTGCATGCAAAGCAATGGAATGTAGTTAACTGCTGCTGTTTTGGGTTCCGTCATCTTGGAATATTGGGCTGTAAATGTCATATTGTGAAATCATTTTAATGTGTTCCAAAATAAATATGTGCTGCTGCTTGTAGGTTTTAATCAGTAAATTACTGAATCTGAAATTTTTGGCACTCATTTTCCTGACTTCTCTACCTCAAATTTCTGGATAAATAAAATTCACCTGGTAGAGTGAAACTTGATTTTGAAATAACTCGAACCAGTATAAGACAGTTCTAACTGTAACTCAATATTTTCAATTATTTTTTATTATCTTTTAAAAAGAATTCTGCATTGAAGTAAATTTTGTGTTTAATTAACAGAGCAATTTTTAAAATCTATTTATCTGCGTAGTGACAAATACTCTTAATCTAGTCACTGTGACCTTTCTTCTGTAAATTAGTTCTACAGGTTTGTTTCAGAAAATGGCTCTTCATTGCATTCATACTAATTGCTTTGTATTCTGAATGGAAAATTGGCTCACTGCCTTCTGCTTAACCTGTGTGAACAAAAAATAGCTTTGCCTTTTAAAAAAGACAAACTGCCAGAAAAGCTCAGCAGGTCTTGTAGCATCTCTGTTGAGAAATCAGAGTTAACATTTTGGGTCCAGTGACCCTTCCTCAGAATTGATAGTAGCTAGGAAAATGTCAGTTTATATGCAGAAGACAGGGTGGGAGGGAAGGGTAAGGAGTAAATGACAAGTGGGGATAGAGCCCACCTTCTAAAGACTTTTTAAACTTCTAAACAAATTTGCTTTTCCTATGGTCTAGACTCAGGTTGGTGCTGGGAAGTGCGGAGCTCCAACCTTCATTGGGAATGATGACAAGTGGAACAGAAAAGCAATTTGCTTCACTATGAAGTGCTGTGAAGTTCATTAAAATGATGGCATTTCATCCTGCATTTCTTTAAATTTTGACCAGTCAGGTGTGAACAATATGGCATGTGTTTATGATGCCGCCTTGTTGACTAGCAAGCCTAATTTGATACTGCAGACTAAACTATACACTCTGTTGATGTTGCAGTCAGAACTTGATTTTTTTTTCGGACTCCTCTCAAACTCTCGGGACTGGCCAATATTGATTCTTAATTGGCCTCTAAAGTGGTCTAGAAAGCCACTTGATTAGAGCATCGTCATTGGCCAATAATAAAATTTTGAAATGATTAAACACCTTTTGATGGATCGAATTTGATGGAGTTTTTTAAAACTCTTTATTTCTTATTTATTCTTTTCTAGATATGATTATCGTGAAATGTTGCATAATTCCACCTTCTGTTTGGTTCCACGTGGTCGTAGATTGGGATCTTTCCGGTTTCTGGAGGCTTTACAGGTAATATACGTATGGCACATATAGATGATGCTGCACCACAAAATCTTGAGCTGAAAAATATATAACACTATTGACACTTCTGTGTATATTCACATTGTTTGCATGAACAATATCTACATGCTAACTCACTGCTGTTCGTCAGAGTTCCTGGGCCTAGGTTCGTTGTTCTGTTTACTATATTGTGACTGCACTTCAAAAAGACCTCTAGCTATTAAGTACTTTGGGATACCATCATTATGACAAATGCTGTTTAACTGCAGATATTCTTTACTGTCTGGAAATACTTGCTTGCAGTCAGGGTCCCATTGGATAGGGCATAAAGGCCAAAGCCAATTCTAATCCTTTTGCGCTGGCATGCAGTTACCTTTACACTTCAACCAGATTAAGCGTGCATAATTTTTTAGAAGTAATCTTCTCAACTGTAACTTTGCAGTACGTGAATGTGATCTTGACATCTGGCAATCCAGTCCTCAAACTCAATTTTGAGGCTGTTTATTCTTGTTTAATATTGTCCTACTTGAGGTTTTTTTGAGAAATAAAATCAATACATTTTTTCACAAATAAGTCATAAATTAAATGCACGACGTTCAGGTTCAATATCTTGTGATGGAAATTAATGACACTATAGATTTAAACTTAATTTGTCACCTCTGAAATTCCCTAATACACATTTACGCAACCAACAAAAATGAAGAGTGTGGCACACCTACAGAAGTGGATTGGATGAGTTCAATTGTGAAGTTATTCCAATAAAGTCTGATTACAGTTAGTGTATTAGAAGACCTCAAGTAAGCTCTTTAGATTTCTCAGCTATTCTGGCACCACAACTTTCTTGTTTACATTTTTTACTTCTAAGCATGAAGTACTTGAAGTAGTGATTAGCAAAACTATACGAAGGATACTTCAGTTAAATTTAAATTTCATATTTATGTCTGGTTGACATCAGTTCTGACCAGTTTTGGGTCTGGGAGAAATGCAGCCTATTAAAGACTAGTGAATGAATAATAAACCTAGTACAGTTCAAATATTCCCATGGGTAATCAGAATTGTATCATGAGATAGCATCTTTTAGTGCTCTAGATTAATTGACTATTTAGTGCATATAAGGTATGGCTGATAGTACTTAGTCTCGGCAATGGAAAGGCATTGGATCAGCAAAAAAAGTTATGGCAGTCAACTTCAATGCTCCAAAGTCAGTTGTACACTTTGGAG